CCTCTGCGGCTCCCACGCCCTGCCCGCTGCTGTCGGGGTCCGAGGCCCCACGGAGCGGAGTGGCTGAGGCTCCAGGGGCTGGTGACTTCTTGGGTGAGGCTGTGGGGAGAGGCTGCTGTCCCCCGACCCCCACGCCCACCCCTGGGGGCTGCAGAGGGGGCCCAGCGAGGGGCCCCAGCCTCGAAACGCGCCTTGTTTCCACTCCGGGCTCAGCGCGCAGCCTTGGCATGCCACTCCCTTCTCTGTGCCTCAGTTTCTCCATCTGTGCAATGGGCAGATGTTTGAACACCAGTGGAGGCCAGGATGTGGAGCAGGACTTAGGGCCAGCTGCAAGGCAGCAGGGCCCAGTGCGAAACAGAGAGGCGTGGGGCCCTGATCAAAGCCACTAAGAATTCCAGTCGGTGACAACAAAGCGCTAAGCCAAGTGCCGGACCCTCCTGAGCACCTGGGGCCCTGGGAGGCCGCACGGACTGTGCACCCATGCAGGGTGGGGTTCTGGGGGCTCCTACCTGCAGTGGGTCTGTCCTGTTTCCCTCGATCCACATTTCAGTGAGGCTGTCGTGGAGGTCCTGGGCCCTCAGTTCCGCGAGGCACTGGGTGGGGTCCGGGGCTCGAGTTCAGGCGAGACAGCAGATCTCAGCTCCGGGGTCACTTCCTCAGGGAAGCCCGCCCTGATTCCCTCCAGCTTGCTCAGATCCCCCAGCACCTGGAGCCACACACCCCAACTTCTTTGTAATGTGCGCCACCCTGACAACGATCCATCTTTACAATCACTTTCTCTTGCAAATTTTCTTTACCTTTGATGATGTATTAGACACACAACTTTCATTCTATAAAAGCAAAACGGAGCCTACGAACCTGTCTGCTCATCCGCCCAAGCTGGCCCAGCAAGGCTGGTGGACTAGGCCCCCGGAAGTGGATTCGAGCCGGGTGACGCGGGGTCCTTGGCTCTTTCCTGGTCCTCGCTGCAGAGTGAGGCAGTAGCCTGGGGGCCGGGCCTAGGCTGTCTGGCCGTGTCCCTGTGGGGGCTCAGGGGCTGGGGAGCAGGGCCCAGGGGCTGACGCGTACCCCTCCTTTCCTCTAGGGCTCCCCACTCGGCGCCGACATGGCTGAGAACCCCGTGTCTCCCCCGTCTGCCGCAGCCCCGGACCCTGAGCCGGGGGTCACAGAGCAGCCGGGGCCCCGGAGCCCCCCTCCCTCCCCTCCAGGCCCGGAGGAGCCGCTGGATGGAGCTGACCCTGGCGTCCCTCACCCGGACCTGGCCCCTGTTGCCTTCTTTTGCCTGCGACAGACCACCAGCCCCCGCAACTGGTGCATCAAGATGGTGTGTAACCCATATCCTTTGTGAGCCCAGCAGTCCTGGGCCCTGGCCGGCCTGCTGCCCCCCACCACACCCCTGCATCCTGCACGCCTGCTGCCGGCTCCCCGAGGCGTGGGTGGGTCTGGGGAGACACCGGGTGAAGGTCAGGCTGATGAGGCCCTGCCGGCCCGCTGATGGGAACCCACAGCCGATGGCTGTGGCGGTCAGTCCAGTGGCCAGCTGGCTCAGCGAGCCCTCAGGCAGGCGGCCTGGGTCTGGGTGCAGCCTTAAGTCAGACCCTGGTCCATGGCCCAGTTCTGGTGACTGAGCCACTTGGCGCACTGTGACCACAGAGGTGATGGGGCTGTGGCGGGGAACCCGGAGCCTGGGCCCAGAGACACCCCGACCCTGCACTCGAGGGGAGCCCCGTTCTCCCCGTGGGTCCCTCGGGCTGGAAGGCAGCACCAGGCAGCCCGCTACAGACCTGCCTCCTCCACTTGCTGCCTGCCGCCTCCTCCTGTCACCCTGTGAATACCTTGGGGGTGCCCCTTGCCCTGCAGGGGCTGAGTCAGGTCCTAACCCTGCACCTGCCCCCGGGACCCTCCGGTTTGCCATATCTCTGGTCTGTTGTGCACACAGCGTCCTGGGGTCTGTGGCCTCGCCACCCCAAGGCCTCCACCCTCATGGGCTGGAGTTGGGGCAACAGCGGGGTGTCCTGGGAGAGAGAAGAGGGTCTGGAAGTCGGCAGAGCCGGGCTCAGTCCTCATGTGTGTTAGGGAGTTCCGGGGCGCGGGTGTGGATACCCCCCAGGGGAGGGAGCGAGGGGCTCCTCAACCCGGGAGCTGCGAGGCTGTATTATCACCAGCTCCCCAAGGCCAGCGCTGGGCAGGGAGCGGGAGGGACGAAGGGTCAGGTCTCAACCCAGCTGCCTAGGTCGGAGGGGAGCAGCCTCTGGAGTGGGGGCGCCTGGGCCCGCTCTCGGAACGTCTGCGGGGTGTCTCAGGGCTCTGAGCTCAGAGCATGCGCGGGACCCTCGGGCTCTAAGCCTCTGTGATTCGGGGTGGGTTTCAGCGGGGTGTGGGGCTAAGGCCTGGGGGCCGCGTGGGGTGTTTGGGAGGGGTGGGCCTGGCTCTGGCTGGGACACGCCGCGCAGGGCTGAGTCGGAGGGTGCGGAGAGGCCAAGCAGGCCCAGGAGGACTGGGTGTCCGCAGGGCCCCTGGAGTGGAGATTTGAGGCTCTCGGCTGGACCAGGGGCTCTGGGATTGTGGGGCTGCTGAGAGTTCTAGGGTTCTCCTCTGGTCAGACACTGGGCTCGGCCCGCCCTCGTCCAGGGCAGGAGCCCCGGAGGTGGGTGTCTGGCCTGGCGACCCTCCAGCTCGGGGCGTGACAGCGTTTGTGTCCTCCTGGCTCTTCTGTGCATTCGAGGCCGTTCGGTGTTCTGGTCCCTAGACATGGGTAGGCAGTGCCCCTTGATAAGGGCAGGTGACCCCTCCTGTTTCCGGGCCCTGTGGCCTTCTGCTCCCAAGGGAGACGGGCCTGCGGGCGTCAGCTCTCAGGGCAAGTGGCCCAGAGATCCACCAGGCGGACGGTCCCGAGCGCCAGTCCTGGCGTGGGGGCCCCGGCCCAGTGCCAGCTGCCCTCTGACTGACTCAGCTCTCGCCAGTGCAGGGTGAGGCCCTGAGTCACCGCCTGACTCACTGGAGAACCAGTGGTTTCGGGGACCCTCCCGGAGTGCCCAGGCGGTAAAAGCCGCCTCCCAAATGTCAGCACTGCTCCGGCCTGGCCTGGGACTGGAGCACTTGGGAGCTGGCTTCAGCTGGGGGCCTGAATGTGGGGGGCTCACCCGCACGGCCCGACTCACGGGGAGGCGGCTTGTGACGTGCGGACAGCTCCGGGCCCTGCATCAGACATGCCCAGACACGGCTCTTACTTGCTGTGTAACCCCGGGCCAGTTTCTTGACCTCTCTGAGCCCATCCCCCACGTGTCCAGCAGGGGACAAGCCCTCTTTACAGGGGCGTGCTGGAGACCAGCGTGGTGCGAAGGAGCACACAAACTCGGACTTGCACACCAGAGAAACAGCCACACAGCGCTCCCCGCTGCCCTGTGCCGGGAGGCAAACAGGCGGCTGAAGAGCTCGTGGTGCTGCAGTGAGACGCGGGCGTGGAGCCTGGACGAGCCCCGCGCCCTCACAGGACTCTGCTGCCCAGACCGTCAGCTCCAGCCTTGCGCTGGGGTACATTTGCGCCAGCCACGCCCTCGCCCGTGCAGGCATGGCTAATCCATCACAGCTCCCTCCAGCCAGGCGCCCCCGGCAGCCTGACTAATCAGCTGGAAACCTATTCTCTACCCTAGATTAGACTTTGAGAGCCTTTCTTTTCTTTTCCTTTTTTAAAGATTTATTTATTGATGCACGCAGAACTGGGGTGCAGGCCAGCAGTGCAGGAGGTGAGAGGCTTCACCAGAGACAGAGTGGGGAGCGGAACAGGCCGACTGACGAAGCACACTGCTGAGGGAGCGGCGGGAAGGCGGGAGCGGTCTGTGCGCCCTGTGGGTCCCTCCCGGCCGGGGACCCAACTCGCACTGGCACGGCTGCAGCTGGCTTTAGCCACTGCGCCACCAGGGAGGCGGGGGGAGAGCCTTTCGCAGGAGCACCACTGGATGCATGTGGGGTTGGGGGGCGGTGCTGTGCTCACTCTCTCCCCTCCTCCAGTCTTAGTTTTTTCACTGCTGCTGTGTAAGCCTTAAGAGGGTGACGGTGACTTCTGGGATGCGCCCGGTGCAGAGGAGGGCCGGGGTGGGGCGCTGCAGCAGCGTCTTCACCTTCAACCTTCTAACCGCCCTGGAGGCTGAAAGGGGCTCAGGCGGGCCTTTATTTTTTAAGATTTACTTTTTTATTCGTGCATACAAGAATTGGGGTACAGGCCAGAAGGGGGGAGAGGGACTCCCCAGAGACAGAGTGGGGAGAAAGGCGGATCTGCCGAAATACCCTGCTGAGGGGATCTGCTGGGCTCTGGGGGTCACTCCCTGGCCGGGGCGAACTCCTGCCCAGCGGCTGCCTATAGTCACGTGCTGAGACTTAACCCTGCACCCCAGGGAGGCCCTGGCTGCGTAACTGTCGCCCAAGGTTGCACAGCCAGGACGTGGCAGAGCTCTGATGAAAATCCGCTGCCTCTCGGGCCTCGGGCCTCGGCTTTTATCCAGGCCGTGAGCCTCCCCCAGGACGGGGCGCTCTGCTTTGCGCTCCCGGTGCGCTGGGGCCTGCCTGGGCTCCAGCTCGTCTGTGAGGCAGCCACCTCGCTGTGGCGTGCCTGGGCCGGCGGCGTCTGCGGCGCCCTCCCTCCGGCGCCCTCCCTCCTGGCTGGCGGGAGTGGCTGCCTCCCCCGCACCAGCCACCGAGCGGGTTCTGCTGCAGCGCCAGCCAGCCATGCATGGTGGGAGGCAGTGGGCCGCGAAGGCTGCCTCTGTGGGGGGCGGGCGGGGCGCCGGGGCGCAGGCAGGAGCCCCCAGCTGCGGGGGCCGCCCGGTCAGTCCCCTCCTCTGGTCTCCCTGTCTGGGGCAAGTTGGGCCGCCAGGCCTGGAAGGGCGTCTTGGGGTGCCCCGGGCCCTGCTGACACCGTCCTCAGGAAGCATCTCACGTGGCAGAGGCCCGGCCCTGGCGCCCTCGTGGGTGGGCTCACCCCTCTGGGCTCTCCGCAGCCCCACTTCTGTCTGCCCAGGGCCCGCGCCTGGCCCTGGCCTCTGCTGCTAGGCTGGGGTGTGCGGGTGGTCTCCTGCGCAGTGGCCGGCCCCGGGCTGGGATTCTGCCCTCAAGGGCACTCTGACCTCGCCCAGCACCCACAGGCTCGGCGCTGCGCGTGGCGAGGGCTCGGCGCTGCTGCCTGGCGGGCTCCTGCTTGTCCATCATCCCCTGGCCTTGCAGCCTGTGGACAAGCCTTCCCAGGCACACGTGTCGGGGGCGTTCCTGGAGGCCACGAGATGTGAGGACGTGGCCCAGCACGAGGGGCCTGGAGACGAGCGGCTGTGGCGGGGGTGGGGGGTGCAGGCAGCAGAGGCCGCAGGGGGCCCCCGACTGTGCTGGGCTGAGTGTGCGTGAAGAGCTGCCCTGGCCTCCTGGCCGCGGGGACTGGACCAGGCTCTCGCCTGCGCGGACCCCCGTTAGCTCCTCTGTGAAATGGGCCACGTGGTGCCTGTTTGGGCTGCCGGGGTTCCGGGATGCCAGGCTTTCGGGCCTGCCTGCCCAGGACTGGGGCGCAGGCTCTTGGGGGGGGAGGGCCCCTCCTTCAGCCCTGGCCTGGTGGGGTGCTTGCATGCGCAAGCGCTGCAGGAAGAGCCAACACATGTCTGGGAAATTGTCCGTCGCCCTCCATCTGGCGCAGGGTGGGCTGTTTCAGAGTCGGAGCCAGCATCCAGCAGTGCCTGGGGCCGCTCATGGGGACCCAGCGCGTTGGGGGGGGCTGGGGGGTCGGCGGGGGCTCGGCCGGCGAGAGGGCCCTGATGCAGGGCAGCCGCAGGTCCTGCCTCATGGAGATAGCTGTGGACAGAGAGCTGTGGGTGCAGGAGCTGCCCCGCCCCGGTCTGAGACCGGCCGGGCGGGACCTGCCGGGCGGGGCCTTCTGGCCTGGGTCTTGCCGCATGAGTAGGAGTTGGAGGGCTGGCGCTCTAGGCAGAGGAGCTCAGCGGACGCCGGCGGGGACTTCAGCACGCGGGAAGGGGCCCGGTGGGCGCCTCTCTTGATCTGTGGACGCTCGGGAATCATGGACGGGTGCCCGGCAGGGTGGGTTGTGGGTAATTTCACTTAGTTGAGTGGCCGCTCCTAGGTCGGAATGAATGATGTTTGAGGGAGAGACCGAGGGCTGGGACCCAGCTGGAGGCGCCTTCGTGAATAATGGCCGGGTCCTTCGGTGCGTATTTCTGGAGGCTCGCTGTTGGTTGCACACTACTCTAGACCCGAGTGGGGGTGCCCCCCGGGGTCTTCAGGGCAGCCCATGCTGCTGTGGCTATGGCGTACCAGGTCGGTCACCCCACAGCCGCCAG